ATATTAATTTTGCAATTCATGATAATTATAATTGTTACAAATCAAGACTTTACCCTCTCCATGGCTTCTGTTTAGAGCTTTCATTTAAATATAATATTATCGTCGATTATATTGCAAATTTAATCAAGTTTTAGCAGGACAAAGAAATTTTCAAATGTTTTCATTTAACACTTTATTTGGACTAATTAATTAATTTGAGTATTTTGTGGTAAGTTTTCGCTCTCCCACTGGGAAAATTGATGTATGAAGAGTGTCCTCACTTGCCTCATAGGAATGTACCAAAGACCACATCAATATAAAATTTATTAATTTTTCTTCTTCACTTCAATATTTTGTGTAAAACATTATCATTGTATTCGTGGAAGCACGTGTGCCCTCTTTCGCGGTCTTTTTGGTAGTAAAAAGCTCCGTCAGTAAAACATCCTTCAGGTGTTTCCTTGGAGGAAGGAGGGGGGGAATCAGGTAGAAAAAAGGTGACGCGCAGCTGATCAGACAAACAAGTCGGCTTTGGAAGATGTTTGGCGAGTTGTGCCGACTTTGCGAGCGTCCGGCGGCCGACGGCGGCCACCGAGCGGCCGAATTGGACAAGGACAAGTTGGCCGAGTGGTGTTTGAATTTCTTGGGCACGACTTTGGCCGGCCAAATCGACGACCAAGACCTCTTCTGCTACTTCTGCGTCTGGGACGCCAGGTATACAAAATGCAAACGATTGACAGAAATTTTAAATTGTTGTTGCATACTCAATGTATTTATATTATACTATGAAATCGCTTGCATTCTGCTATTAATTGCGTCTTACACTTGGATAAAGATACAGTACGTGTATGAAAAGTAAAAAAAAAATTAAAAGACTAAAAATGAAGGATTTGTAATAAATCTCTGATTTAAAAATAGTGGAAGAGGATCAACTAGTGCTGAAGATGAAGATTTAAAAAGCTACAAACCAGGCACACGCACATTTGATTTAAAAGTTTCTTATTTTCCATCCCAAGTGTAAAGAAAATGCAAACATTTATGATGTCTTGATAAAAGTATTGAATTTGTTAGCTTTTGCATTTCTTTATTCCAAATATGACTGACACGCGTAACTGTTTTTTATTGGGTATCAATCAAGTGGAGCATTATGATATTTTCTAACTCGTCTGTTTCAGGATCTTTAAAATTTTGCATCTGAAAAATATGAATTGAGAAAATGATAATTTTCAGGTTCTATCACCATCAAAACAAGACCGCAGTAAATAGTACAGACGATAATGATATGTGCTGGTGGCCTGAAGAAGACGCTTACAAAAATTCTCAAGACCTGTACAAAAACTACGCAGGTGAGGAGTAAAGGATGAAATGACATTGAAAAAATATTTAAATTTTAAAACATCATTTCAGCTGGAAAAGTGCAGCAGTGTTGGGTTTCATTGGAAAAATTGCCAAGTGAAGAAAAAGCAAGTTCCTTTGTTGGAGGAAATGCTAAATCAAAGATTTACAAAACTTGCTGCTACTGCAACAACCAATTTGTTTACTTGATTGAACATATGAAAAAGATTCATGCAGATGTTGCAATTAGATGCAATTTTAAATTAACTTGTTGCAAATACTTTAAAACTGTTGAAGATAGGGAAGCTCATGTCAATGAATTTCATTTGAAGCCGAAAATAGAAACTCTTTCAGACTGCATTTATTGTTCTCTAAAAGGATTTAAAAAGTGGAATCTACGTAAGCATATTAAAGCAAAGCATTGTGATGTGGCGATCAGGTGCAGTATAAAAAAATGTGCTTTGTATTTTAAAACTGGGGCTGAGTTGGATTTGCATTTTGAGACAAAACACAAAAGTAGAGAGGAAAAGAAAAAAATTAAATGCTCAATCTGCAATTATATAGCCTGTGATAGAAGATTAATTGAAAACCATGAGGCAAAATTTCATCAAGTGCAAAAAGCAATCAAATGCTCCGATTGTACCAAAATTTTTGTTAGTAAAAGTGATATGCAAAATCACAAAACTCATGTACACAACCTAAGAAAATGCCCGGCTTGCAATTCTAAAATTGTAATTTCAAAATACTATCGACATTTTACAAAACGTTTTTGCAGGAATTGCAAAACTGTTTTCGACTGTTTAGAATTGCTCGGAAATCATGAAAAGAATTGCAAACACGGATTAAAATGTGAACTTTGCTTGAAAAGTTTTAAGCAAAAACATATGTTGAAATACCACATGATCATGAAGCACTTGGTTAAAAATGCGCAATCTTCGAAATCCAATGCAAGTGTATTATTGTGCAAATTGAATAAAACAAAATCGATCCGAAATAGAAAATGGAATTGTGCTCACTGCAGCAAGGAATTTTCAGCAAAACAAAGCATCAAGACACACTTGGCACGTGTTCACAATCTGATAGAGAAAAAACATTGCTGCAATCAATGCTCGGCAAAATTTTATGTTGCTTCAAAATTGAAATATCACATACGTGACATTCACTTAAAAGAGAAAGTGAAATGTAAAATTTGCAACAAAGAAATGCACTTATATTATCTTAGATATCACATGATTAACATTCACTGTGCTTAAAAAGTTATTATGGCCATTCAGGGACTTTGGGAACAAATATTTAAACACCTAATTTTATGCATAATGTATTCCAGATTGTCCAACGAGACCAAATTAATGAATTAAATTGTAAGATTTTTTACTTCTGTACCATGCAATTTTTTATTAAATGTTTATAAATTCAAGTAATAAAATAAATTTTAAAGCTCCATAAAGCTATTTTTGTTGATAAGCTATTATAAGAAATTCATGTGTCGCTTGACACTTTTGCTAGCAATTTCTGTCCTCCTCTAAATGACGGTGGGGCACAGAAAATTAATTAATAATTTGCGTGTATTTGAATTTTGAATCGTTTAGAAAATCCCTGCGGAGAAAAAGTCCCACCAAATAAAAGATTGAAAAGATTATTCAACTGAGACGAGAATGGTATATTTCCAGCCGTTTTTCTGCGAAACAATTATTTATATTTTTTTCTAATTGCGTGTCCTACGCTCCAAGATGCATTATATGAAATACTTTGCTGCGGTTGTCCCTAAATAATTATATGTACCACGTTCTGCTTGCGTGTTCGCCGAACCAAGATGCATAAAATACATTTCACGTGCTGGGTGGACACACGTGGAATTAAGAAAAGCGACTTTCTGCGACACATTCCTCGGTCCCGCACGTGAACCAAATAAGAAAAAAAAATACACTCGTACGGCTTTTGTACCTCTGCGCATTTGCATTCTGTGCTGCCAATTTTTGCGGCCGTTATTTACGGCGCTGGCCAAAGAAGGTGTGCGTTGTTGTATAAAGACTTCATTTAACTATGTCATTGAGGACTCTTTAAAGTGGGAAGTAATTATCTGAAATTAATTTAACAAATCGATTCAAAATTTACCGAGAGACCTAGAAAGGAGAGCCGTCATCAAGTGAAATAAAACAAGATAATTATATTTTAGCTTGAAAAGCGCCTTCAACATTGAAAATTTAAATTGATGAAATATAAAGTTGGAGAACAGTTTTTGTAAAATTACATTTCGTTCTTCTTAAAGAATTTCACGATCAAGGATTGATTCTTTGTGTTTGAATTTAAATTATTACAAGAAATTATTTGATTTTATTAAGAATTTATGTTTGAAAAACCTAATACACAGTTATTAAAGTAACGATCACACGTTGCTAAATATTTGTTACTAATAAATATCCCAAATAGAGTGTTTGACGGCGGGACTCGGTCCCGACGGGTCCTGGCGGGTTTCCCGCGGGACCGCCGGCACCGTTTTCTTTCAGAGCAGCGGGAACGGGACGGGACCGGGAAATTGAAGTTAGTTGCAAAGACAAACCAGTTTTCAATTCGCTGTTCTGTCAAATGAATTATAATTTTCAAGCCAAGTCAAAATTAAAAGCAATTAAAAGTTTTTGAATAGCATATTTTTCTAATCGCAAACTCCTTTTCGCACTTTTTCTTTTAAAAAAAATATACATAATTAACATAATCATAATTAAATTAAGAAATCAAGACAATATTTTAGAAATTTGAGGTATTGATATAAATTAAGCGACCCGCAGTACATACGAGTAGTGCTATTTGCATACCACGAAAACTACTGGACGATTAATAGCTGACTGCAGGAATCGGGACTTGGGACGGGTCCGGGAATTTCGTTTTAGGCACTCCCGGGAACGGGACCAGACTCGGGAAATTGTTTGAAAAAAATTCGGGAAGGGACGGGAAAATTTTCAAAAATTGGTTCCGTCAAACACTCTAATCCCAAAATATACATATTTCCAATCATTATATTCTTATCAGCAATATTCTTAAGTTCTATTAAATAAACTTAATTTGCATTCAAATATACAGTATATAATTTAAAATTGAGACTTCAATTTAAATCAGATAAATTTTTCTGATCCTCATAATATAGTCGGTTTCTGTTGCAAGGTCAGAATTTCAATATATCCGTAGAAAATTGAATCTATAAAAAAACTTTTGCAGAGCGCACAACGTACGCTTTGTCAATTCCAGACACGCGCTCGCTCTTTCTTTCTTTCTTTCTTTCTGTGTGTTATGCATTATCGAATTAAACTTGTGCACAGAAAGAGAGAAATGAAATATTGAATAAAATTTCAACCTTGCGAGAAACATACATTCCATTTATATGGCGTTGCTCTAGTTTAAAGTGCAACGTTGCAATTCAATTTTGTAAACGGCGAAGAGAAAAAAAAGGAAAGCGAAAAGAAGAAGAAAAACAGAAGCGCTCACGGCGATCGAGGCCTGCGAATTGCTTTTTGCGGCGGAAAAGGAAATTGATTTATTAGTAAGAAAGCATGAACTCTGCTTCGACGGCGCAAACTTCCTGTTGTTTCTCCGATTGACTTTCACTTGTCTGCAAAAACAAACTACTTCGTGTCTGCGAAAGTTCATTTTTTTCTCTCTATCTCGGAGGTAAATAAAAAAAAATGGGTACTCACGCAATGAGGACGACGAGGATCTGGAGGCAGCACAGGACGCCCCTGCGCCTGCAGTTGCCGCAGCCGTCGCGGATGCTGTCGCAGCTCGAGCTGCTCGCGTCGTCCGACTCTTTGGTGCTGCGGCACTTGCGGGACGCCTCGACGCAGCCGAACGTGGCCAGGCCGAACGGCGCCACCAGGGCCAGCACGCCGAAGACCACCAGCAGCGCCACGAATCCAGGCTCAAAACTCAGCGACTGCAAAAAACAAAATGCAATTTAACTCAAATTTAAATAAAAAATGATTCGATGAAAGTAATTTAAAAGAAATTACTTTTATCAATTGTTAATTTTAACTCCTATTTGTATGTGCTATAGATTTTGCTTAAGATGGTAAAAAAAAACTGCTCAAAACTTTGATATAGATAATTGATAACTACATATCAATTTTTTACGACATAAAATAACACAATAAAAGCAAACTGTGCAAGAAGTATTTAGAAAATGGTTTAAACCTTAAATTTAGGTTAATTCTTTCAAGTTAAAATCAGTTTTAAAGTAAAAATTTATATTAAAAGAATACTCAATCACATAAATATTTTACATTTGATGGAACAAAAAAATCTAACTAGATTAAATTACAAAAGTAAGGACAGGAGCAAAAAGCGTGGTTCTTTCGCGGTCTTTAATGGCAAAAATAAGCCCCTCCCCTGATTCTGCTGGAGGGGGAAAAAGGCGGTGAACAGCTGAACAAGACTAACAAGAGTCTGTGTGAAGATGTTTGGCGAGTTGTGCCGACTTTGCGAGCGTCCGGCGGCCGACGGCGGCCACCGAGCGGCCGAATTGGACAAGCACAAGTTTCAAGAGTGGTGTTTGAATTTCTTGGGCACGACTTTGGCCGAAGAAATCGACGACCAGGACCTCTTCTGCTACTTCTGTGTCTGGGACGCTAGGTATGATAATTTGGAATCTTTTAATAAAATTGATTGTTGTAAATGTCGGTCGTTCTGCTCGTGTCACTTCTCACCCGCTTGTTAAAATACTGAATAAGAAAGGATTAGAAGATTAAAAATGAAAATAAAATTTAAAAAGTGCTTATTAAAAAAAAAGGAGACGCTCATAATATATTTAATATCTGAATTGCATACACAAACGCACAAAAAACACAGTGCTGTAATATTTTAATTGAATTTAAAAAATAATTTTATTTAAATGATATGATGCAAGGAGCATTTGTGGCAGTAATTCAAGATTGAAAATTTTAAAGTGTTTGTGATATCGTTCTTTTTTTTCAATAGCGTGGGTTTACCGCGGCGGCCGTGTCTCTTTTGATGTCGGGCGTTTTAGCAGACATCTGCTAGTTGTAAACCCTTTCTTCTCTTTTTTCCCAATTTAAACTTTTTGTATCGACTGAGAAGAATAAATAATAATAATTATTATAACACTGAAAAATAAAATAATTTATGTGTTATAAGCGTAATTGTTTAAAGTTTGTAAAGATTTTATCCTTTTGTATTTTGCTTGTCCAAATGACGTGACGATGTCTTCATTCAAGCAGAACATTTATAATTTTTTTAACTCCGCGATATTTGCAATTTGTATAACTTTTACTTAAAATAAATTATTTAGGAAATACTGTGAAATACATTACTTTTGCAGGTATAACAATACCTATAAAGGTAAAGTTGATCCTGATTTGTACTGGTGGCCAGAAAAAGACGCTGACGCAAATGCTCAGGAGCTGTATAAAAACTACACAGGTGAGAAAAGAGGAGGTTGAAAATGTTGAGATTATGAAAAAAAAAAATTGATAATAATTTCAGCTGGAAAAGTGCAGCAGTGTTGGGTTTCTCTGGAAAAATTGCCTGGTGAGGAAAAAGAGGGTGCCGATGCTTGTGGAAAGGATGAATCAAGGTTAAAAAAGAATTGCTGCTACTGTGGAAAAAAAGTTGTTGAATTGACTCGGCATATGAAATATAATCATGCAGATGATGCAATTAGATGCAATTATCACTCACAGTGCAGCAAATACTTTAAAACTGAAGATGAGAGAGACGCTCATGTCAATGAATTTCATTTGAAGCCAAGAGAAGAAATTCGTTCAGACTGCATTTATTGTGCAAAAAAAGGTATTAAAGTGGAGACTTTACACCAACATGTTAAATCAAAGCATCGTGATGTGGCAATCAGGTGTAGTGTTCGGAGTTGTGCTTTGTATTTTAAAACTCGGGCTGAGTTGGATTTGCATTTTGAGGCGAAACACAAAAGCGAAGAAGAAGAGAAAAAAATTAAATGCTCAATTTGCGAATATAAAGCAAAAAGTATGGATGCCATTGAAAATCATAAGGCAAAATATCATGGAATACAACAAATAATAAAATGTCAGAACTGTCCCAAAATTTTGGGAAGTAAATTTGATTTGCAATATCACTTAAAGCGCACTCACAACTTTAGAAAATGTCCTGCTTGCAATTTTAAAATTCCAGTCTGCAGTTACTATAAACATTTTACAAAACGTTATTGCAAGAAATGCAAAGCCGAATTTGATTGTCTGGACCTGCATGTAAAGCATGAGACGAATTGCAACTATGAATTTAAATGTGAACTTAGTTTGAAAAGTTAAAGGAACAAATGCCTTTTGAAATACCACATGAACTTGTAGCATTTAGTGAAGAATGTTAATTCTTCAAAACGCAATAAAAGTTTAAATTTTTGCAAATCGAATAAAATCGAATCAATCCCAAATAAAAAATGGAAGTGCAATCACTGCAGCAAAGGAACTTGTAACAAAACAAAGTGCCGAGAGACACTTAGCTCATGATCACAATCAGATAGAGAAAAAACATTGTTGCAATCAATGTTCGGTTAAATTTTATGCTGCCTCACAACTGAAATACCACATTCGCAACATGCAGAAAGTAAAATGTAAAATTTGCAACAAAGAAATGAGCTTTCGCTATTTAAGGGTCGCATGATTACCATTCACTGCGCTTTATAGTGAGAAACCTTCAGGGTCAGACTGGGACTGCAAGAGTCACGTCCAGTGCGGAACAAAGTGGTAACAAAGTGATTTACATTGCAATTGAAATGTTCACATTTGCCGCAGTAAATTAAATTAAATGTATCAAGTTATTGAAAATTATATTATATTTCTAGGTTTTGAAAAATTCATTTTACATTATTTTTTTTTTTTGCATAAGGAATTGCATTTGAGAAATAAAATTTATTGTTTATAACTTTGTACTTAATTCTATTCTGCAAACACATAAAGGAAATTTTCATTGATATATGATTTTATGATATATTAGGTTACAAAATCTATTTTTACTTCATAAGTATTTTTTGTTTATTGATTCATTGACTCGAAAAGTTTTCTATTTTAATGTATTGGAATCTGAAATCCACAAATATGTTTTAATTAGTGTGTAAGTTGCTAAATAATAAAGAAAAAAATTAAGCGAGGCCTTCAAAAATTATTATTTTCAACACACGCAAAATTAGTCAAATTTTGAAAGAAATTTTAATGAGCTGGTTTTTCAAAACATTGAATAATTTATTAAATAAAATTATGTTTGAAAAAAATTAAAAAATTAATTGTTCAAATTTTTGTTCACAGCTTTGCATCTTTAATTTTGTTTTCCTATACAAATGTTAAAAAAGTTTCAAAAATTATTAGTGTAAAGAAAAAAAATAGAGTGCATAAACGCAAAATGTAGTGCAATGTGCAATCGATCTGGACTAAAAGCAAGTTAAAAACAAAGAAAAGGAGTTTTATCCACTCGATTATTTCTTCATTTCTTTTCCACAAGGTCGGCGGATTTCACTATTTTTTCCAATACAAGTCTGCGCAATTTTCACTACGATTCTTTGCACGCGGAGAAAAAAAAACTAGCACTGGCACTACATTATATGGCGGTGCCAGTTTCAATAACGCGCGCTGGATTGCGAATAAATTTGCCTCTTTCTCGACAGCCAGATGCGACTCTCAAGCAGAAAGACTGCCTGTTTTTTTTAAGGGAGAAAACTGTAATTAGCTGAGAAAAGGCTAGACAGATGCTCGAGGAGAATACTAATTTTTGTTCGGAAATTAATTAATTCTAAAAATACAAATAGTAATTTTAAAGACCTTCACGTGGGTCAATTTTTATTCTTGAATTTGAAGGTGAACAAATTTGTACGGGCAAAATTTTAATTTATGAAAAAATTATCACCCTGGAGCTGCGAGTCGCCTTTTCCCGCCAATAATATTTGAATTTTTAATTCAAATTTTATAACTTTTATTGAGGTAAAAATTAAATTTACTAAAAATATCAATTTATTTATCTTTTAATAAATTGAATCTTTTGTCAAATATTGAACTTATTTATAAATTTTGTTGATTTTTTAAGGAAAAAGTTTGGCCCCTTTTGGTCCGTCTCAAGCAAAGTGCGTATAAACAGATTACACGGAAGGGTTGGAAATTCGGTGCTATTAATTGGAGCAATAACTAATTAACTGGCAGGGGGTGGTACAAATGTGCGCAGCAGTTGGCCGTGTTTACCTTGATAATCACGTCTGCGAGCGAAAGACGACTTTGCATGGCGTCGTTGGCCAGCTCTGCGAGATAATTAAGAGCACAAGATTAGCCCGGCGGATTTTGGCACTTTCCACTCACCCAAGGGGTAGTCGGCCGGCTGGAAGAGGCCCAGGAAATTGGCCACGTAGCTGAACACGAAGAATCCGTCGTCCAGGCCGAACTTCTGCAGCCTGTACAGGTCTCCCCTGGGCACCTGCGGGAACACCAGCGTCGACAACATGTTGTTGTTGCCGCCGAATTCGACGCCGCGACGCTCATCACTCGTCGCCTCCACTTCCTCCAAATCCGGCTCCTGCAACTGGAATTCACAATTTGAGCCCAAAATAACGGTGCTTGATTTAATTTGGAATTTAATAAAAGATAGTTTTAACAGTTTCATTGTTTAATTAGAAAATTTGGATCGAATAGTCGGTGAAGAAAATTGAACCATATTTTTATTCAAAATTTAGTTATCCAAAATTTCTGATTAAAATTGAACTCTAAACTTAAAATCAGTTTAATTTTATTAATACTTTATTAAAGTTTTGTTTCTTATTGAAATTTTTTATCAAAATTCGTTAATTTAAATTTTTTTAAAGAGAAGTTAAAATAAAATATTTCTGAAATGTTTCTGTAAGATTTTGATAAATTTTATCAGCCCAAATTCTTAGGAACAAAAATTACTTCAGAAAATTTCTGAAAGAAACACCGAATTTCTTGAAATTCATTTCTTCAAATGATCTTAATTGGTCTCCTTGGAATAGAAATCTAAATTCCAATTCTAATGCAGAGATAATATTATCGTCTAAATTAATGATACTGTTTTTTGTGGAATTACGTTTTGCATTCCTGTCTGTAATTTGTTTTCATTAAACTTCTCTCATATAAATAAACAATTCAAAAGTGCGGGTAAACAACGAGATGCATTTAGAGTGCTTTTCTCTCTTTGCCGTGTTCGCTCTCCTTCCTCATTTTCAAGCAAGTTATTTATTTTGATATCTGCGGCAGAGCTTGTTTTGCATGCATGAATTAGCATCTCTCAAGCAGTGTGTTTGTCATCACGTCGCTAGCTTTTCATTTAGATTGCGTGTTTCTTGCTGAAAAAGTTTCTGCGCTCGAACGGAGTAGCTAATAAATGAGCGAGAGAAACCGTAAAGTTGGAAAAGCTCGACAACTTGCCACCATCAAGACATTGTGTGGCTGTTCATGACGCGAATGTTGATGCAACAAATAATTTAACCCATATTTACGTCAAATTGTAGTTTACCACTTCAGACAACCAAATTATAATTTATACTCACAGACCTTAAATGCACACAATTTTACCCGTTAGAAAATTAGACAATTTTAATTTAATTATTTATCACAAATCTATTTCAAAAGCTTTCATTACAGGAATTGCAATTTATTAAAAACTAATTATTTACAAGAAATTTATCCTGAATTATCAAAAAAAAAAAAAAATGATAAAAAGAAAAACTTCACTGAAACTATGCTCAATAAATTCGATAATGTAAATTTTGATGTGGATCCACCTTTGGTTTTTTATTATTGTAACTTGATTGTGTTGATAATTACGTACTTTGGTAATTTTGAATGAGGGCTCATTTTGGGGAAAAAAATTAGAAAATTTCTATAAGAAACAATGTTGATTTTTAAACTCAGTTCCTAATGCAATTTTTAAAAATTATGAACAAAATTTATAAAGCCAGTTATTTTGAGAAAAAGCCTCTCCTTAATTATTTTATGTGTATGTTCTCAAATGAACTGTTCCTTCCCTTTCAATTAATTATGAGTTATAAGAGTTTCAGTTTTTAAATTAAAATTAAACTTTAAATACCACAAGGACAAAATGTTTATGGTGACTTTGATTGCTAAGAGCATTAACAAAATCGAGAAGCTTTTAGTAAAACTGAATAATTTTAAATGAAACGTGTGTTTTGAATTAATTTTAATTTTCAAATTGATTAAATTTTTCTATTTTTATTTAATTTTGTCAATTTCAATTTGAATTTCTTCAATTTTCGTTGGTTCAATAGTAGGAAATCCATAAATTCCGATTAAAACTCCCTAAAATAAATTAAATGTTTGTTTTTTTGTACCTTGCTTTCGGCGCTGAGGTTGCTGATGTCGCTGACGTGAGGCGTCGGTTCAATTTGCGACTCGAGCTCCTTTTCCTCCGCAGGGCCTGCCGCCTCCGTGGCCTGCACTTCTTGGTCCTCCTCCTCGGGCGGCTCCTCCGTGGCCACGACCTTGACCTGCTGCTGCACCACCTCCACCTGGCACAAGGGGTGCGTGTGGCAGTCGTCGTGGGCACCCTGCACGGCCACGCACAAAAGCACCAGCATCAGTTTCCGCAGCAACATTTTATTGAAACGGTAAAAAAAAAGAGTTACGCGCGCGCGAGGCACAAAAGTGAGACTGACTGGCCGCCGCGCCCCGCAATTGCACGTCTTTTAAGGGCTTCGTGAATCCGTACGCGACCACATTCAAGGGGATGGAGGGGGCACGTCTTGCACAAAAATATATACCATTGTGCAGGAGAATTACTCCAAGTTAAATAATAATTGGCCGACTGTTGCAAGAGTTCGCTTGAACTCAAGTTCAATTACTCGGCGGTCAACACCAAAATTAGTTCGGTTTTCTCTGGTAAAAATCGGACAATTTTTTTTATGCAAGTTTCGGTTTCAGTTTTTATTTCAATTGTTTTTTTGTTTTTATTTATTGGAAATAAAATTATTAATTATATCATATGCAAAAGAATTTAAACACCAAAAATTTTGCAGGCTTATTTAATTTCTTAAATTTTTATTCCAAACATCCATCATAAGCTTATAATATGAAGTTAGGAATGAAAAAAAAATTCCTTCAAAAGTGGTTCAATTTTACTTAACAAATAATTGTTTGTAACATTCACATTAAGTTGAAAAGATTCAGTTTTCTTCTTGAGAACAAAATGAAAAAACAAAAGAGTCAAAAAGTCTGTTGTCTGTTATATTAAATTATAAAAACGGTTAATTGAGAAATCACAATTAATAAGCAAGGTGTCTGCTGAACGCGAATTTAAATTTTCAAAAAATAAAAAATAAAACGCTGGCGCTCCCGTCTAAATTTTCAAACTTAAGACCTGCCACAGTCAGCAAAATTTGAAATCCAAGGTTATGAAAAACCGCAGCTCCCACTTTTAATCCACGCAGGAATACTTAATTTAAAGCCGCCGTCCTTCGTCCACTGCCGAAATTAGAGCCAATATTTATAAAAAATTTATCAATATGTCTCTTCACTGGAGAGAAAATATGAACGCGAGTGCGCACGAGTTTGTAAATATTTGCCCAGTCACCGATAAGCCACTTTTGCTGCGGCAATTCGCCATCGAAATGTCGCAATGATGGCAGAGAGAAATTTTTCCTTTCAAAAAGGTTGTATCGACAGCGCGGCAAAACCAACTTCCAGTGCCGCGGGTTATTAAATCTGGATCAGCCTGCGTATTTTTTGTTCCAACTGCTGACGGTGGATACATTTTTCACCGATATATCGAATGAATCTTTCAAAAAGAGACACTTTTTAATCGCATTTATATAAAAAAAAAATTAGTGCAATATTTATTAATTTAAAAAATTCTCTTGAATTAGTTTTTTTTTATCCAAAAGAAATGTTAAAAGGCGGCAACACTCTGATTCTTTGGAGAAATATTTTTAGTTTTTAATTGTGCAAATACACTCAAAAAAAAAATCTCAAATAGACCCGTTTACGGCATGTATGGCTGACCTGGCGTTTTCGGCCGAGTTAAACATGTAAATTAGACTTAATTATGAGCCTCGTAGGTCAATTTGAACAGGGAGAACGACGAAGGGAACGCACCTTTCCGGCGGCGAGTCAGACTGGCCTGGGAGCGGCTTCAGCGGCTCTCCCGAGTCAGTTAAACTCGCTACGCTGCTGCGCCGACTGCAGTGCTCCTTTCTCACGTTGCATTTCGGCCGATTTTTGGCTTTTTCGGGCCGAATTTGGGCTTAATCTTGACCCCGACGAGACACGATGCACTTGGTAAACAAAGAAAGCCGTTACTAATCATATTTGGGCGTGTCCGATTGTCATGTGGGAGAAAAGCGAGAACGAGTTTAGCAACCCGACAAAGTTGTCCCGAGGGAATTAATTAATATCTCGCTCTGATTGAAAGTTTTTTAATTTTGGCGATCGAGAAGCTTATATTTCTAGAATAATTAAGGCATGAGGAAAATCGCGGTGTTGTTTATTTTTTAATCCGAGCAGCCGTTCTCGCGCTTTGAGCATAAATACGCGCCGGCCTCTGCTTGTCGCTTCGCTCGACTCTCTATCGCTCGACTGCTGCACTCGCGGCGGAGAGCGGCGCGCTCGATTCATTAGACGTTTGCGCGAATTTTTTATTTTATTAGTAAGCGTTGAGATAAATCGTTCAAATTTTCAGCATTGGTAGAAAACAAACTGAAATAATTTTTTATTTTTAATTCTTAAAAAAATATTCATCTGGAGCAAAGTTATTAACGTTTCCGCGAGAAGTTTGTTTTTTTAATTTTTAAATTAGAAAGAAAATTTTAAAAATACAAACCCTAACAGAAAATTGTAGCTAATTAAATTCTCTACAATTAATTACGTAAACGTTTTGTTGTCAAAATTTTTTTTATTTGCCAACGGGATGACCAAAGTCAAAACATTACTTTTTCTCATTGAAAAAATTTTTTTGGAAATTTAATTTTGACCTTAGACCTAAAATTTCATCAAAATATATTAAGCCGTTTTGAAATCACAAAGTACTAACTGATGCCACCTGAAAGTGCCGTCGAGGCCGAATAGCAGGTTTTAGTCCATACGCTCTCAACTGAAAATAGCTGAAAGCTGCCTCTGTCGCAAAAGGACCAAACAATGAGTCGAATTTTAGTATCTTTTGCACAAAAACACTCTGGCAAAGAGAAGAGGAGTTTTGCATGCACTGCTTAGGAAAGGTAAACATCCTCGAGCTCTCTGTCGACTCGGTATTCAGATTTTCGTCGTTTTTCAACATTCCGGGGCGCTCCATTAGAGCGACGAGAGGACACTTCATCAACGTTTCACTCGAAAACTCTCAGCCGCATTAAATTTGATGATGACAATAATAATAAGCCCGATTTGTTTCGGGCCCATTACGCGGCCCCTTGCAAACAAAAATGGCAAATTTACAAACGCCTGCCTTATTTTCCACCCCTTTCCGCCCTAAAATAACATAACATCGGATGCTCGAAAATTTCAAGAGATAGACACTCATCCTGCGCAGTTCAGACAAGCAAAAAACGAGGTTTCCTATGAAGAAAAATTGATTAAAATTTAATCAATATCATGTTACTTAGAAGATTTTACGTTTTTCAATCCAATACTTGCATAAAGACATAGCAGATTTAATTTTTACAATAATATCATTCCAAGGAAATTAAAATTAAATTAATGTAAAGCCAAGTTTTTAATTTTAAAGCGTTGAAAGTTAAATTTTTAAATCAATTCAAACTGGTGAATAAATATATTGAATAAAATTTAAATAATTGGATAAAAATCATTGGCAATATAATTACACAATTTATAGAATTTGGATTATTTTCCATTTTTTTAAGGTTTTGTTAACTTTTATTTCAGTCAGAGTCGCTCTATCGAATGTTTACGCATTGGATGTTTGGAAGAAAACAATGTTTGGGGATTAAAAGTAAAAGTGCGTGCCCGCGAAGTGCCACCCCGGCGGCGCAATAAGCGTGGCTGTAATCGCATTAATTGTCCTAAAAAGGTGCAGCGAAGCTCCGCAAATGCCCCGCCGTTCTTTCCTCTTATTTTGTCACGGTGAAAGTTGACTTGAACAAAGGCAGCGCCGCGCGATTTCAATATTATGCGCCCTTTGAGCTGCTGACGAGCATGTTTCAAGAAAGTGCCTGTTTCAGTAATTCGATTGCAGGGTTGAAAAATTATTCAATTTAAATGCGCAAAAAGTTAGGGGCACATTGGCATACAAATAAAAAATAAAAATAAAAGAAAGCAGCAGCAACAACTGAAAAGCAACTTGAAGTTTATTGATTGAATATTTCAAATGATTTGAAAATTCAACTTCTGTTGGTTTTGATTGTATTAATTTCTTTTTCTATTAATTATATAATTTTTAAACCTTCATTTTATTACTATTAATTTTCACGGTCGATAATAAAATGAAGGATAAAAATTATAATTAATATACAAAAAATTAATACGATCAGATCAAAACCATCAAAAGTTGAATTTTCATATCATTTTAACTTTGGTGAATTTTGACCTTTTCGCCTAATTTTATCTATTTATGAAAATGTGTTTGTTTTTATGATTACTTTTTTATTCTCAAATCCTTAAAAAAATCCTACTTAATCACATAAAATTAATTATAAAATAATGTAATGAGACCAAGAAATTTAACGGAAAAAATAATAGCATTAAATTTGAATATAAATGTTTAGCTAAATTTGCAAATATTCATTTGAAACGAAACAGACTTTTTTCCCTAATTTTCATTTCATTCATTCGTTTTTGCGCCACGTGTGCGTCTGTCATGTTGTAAAATGTATAGTAAATGATAATGATGCGGGTGAGCTGCAGCAGCGCGGCCTTCAGACAGACACACACGCAACTTAATTATACGAAATGAGCTTCGCGTGTCTTCTCTTCTTAACGCACCAACTTTTGGTCTCGTTTCTGCCAAATTAGCTCTCGCTAATTAGACGTAATGCGCGCCCCTTTCCTGATCCGGCCGAGACGCGCCGTAAAATTTGACGAGGTGCAAAAATTCATGGGCACATCGACGCACATATTCTGAGATGCCTTTTTCATACACACGCTCTCTCATGATTGATGGTCGAATTCGGGATAATGCGGCGCGCGCGAGGAAGGAAACGCGCGCCAGACCGAAGATATGAAAACACGAATTTGCCCTTTCCACAGGATAATTTGCGGCGCCAAAAATTATCGGATTTCAATTTAGCCGAATTCACGAGGAAGTCATATTATGTATCAAGGCTAATTGAATCTGCTGAGCCTTTCACGAGATCAGATTTTTTTATTATCTAAATTTAATTAAATAATTAGTAATTTTTCAAATTTTAAATATGCATTTTTATTTATTTTGTTCCCAATTAAGAAAATTTTGATCAAAAACGACTTTTTTTCAAGATTGGAAAATATAGACGTACAATTTCAGTGCATTGAATAAAATTTGAATTAAAATTTACTCTTCTTTGCAATTAAAATGATTGAAATTTAGGTCCGGCGGAGTGCAGGGTGGCCTCCCCTCCCCTCCCCGCCGCCCACGTCGGAGGGAAGCTGGCTCGGTTTCAATAAAAGCAGCGGCGGGCTGCGCCGCCGAGCAGACAGTGTGAGATGGTCCAGCGGCACAGCATCAGTGCGCCGCACTAGTCGCCGCGCCGCACCACACCAGCCATCGAGCCGTATCATGTGTTGTCGCTCTTCCTACCGCCCCATCAGATAAGTCAGTTGAATTTCTCACTCGCGCTCTTCTGTGTTTGTCTTTGGCGCCGACGAAGCAAGAAGAGAAAACCCTTTCTTGTCCTGAGTTTGTCTTTCTCTGCGCAAACATGAAAAGGGACGCGAAACGCTCTTGGCACTTTGCCTTCCATTTTTTAGCGTCCCTTTGAAATTTTTTCTTTTTATTAAAAGCCATCGATCTATTTTAACTTTCCATTATATAATAATCTTTTTTCAAAAGCTACATTTCTAACATTGAAAAATTTGTAAAATTTTTAATAAAATTTGAAGCTAACACTTTAGTTACATTAAAACAGCAAATATTACCAAAAATTTTCTTCTGACATTTAATTTTAAATCTTCTAGCATTTAATATATTTGAGAAATAATAAAAACCAATCAAATTCTGCCCATCCTTGATGATTTCTTAGAGTTACCAATTTTTTAAATAAACTCAAAAATTTACGTAGTCACTGAAATCTTTAAGAGTGCATTTTTAATCTTTATAAAATGCTTCAATATCATGATTTTTTTTAGCTTCAAACATTTCCAAAAGCATTTCTTTTACTTCTGCTCGAATAAAAAGATTTTATTTCTCTATTCAAATCAGCACTCTCTGTTTCTTTTATAGCGAAAACGTTCTTTTAAGAAATTTACCCCAAGTCGCCTTGTTACTTATTCCGTTTGCGTAAACAAGACCTGCGGAAAATGCAAATCTTGTCGGTTAGAGCGGCCGCCGCGCTGAGGCAAATCCAGGTGAAACTCTCGCGCAAACATTTCGCCAACTTCTGGAAACACACAAAGGCGGTTTGCGGAAGCGCCGACGAGGCCGTTTTGCGGCGCCGCGCCATTTCAAACAAGCCAAATTGCACCTGCAAATCAAACTTTTAATGAAGCGAAAAACAACACATCCGTTTCTTCGAGCAAATGTTCTTCAAAAAGAGCAAAAGAGCGGCTTCAGCTCATTCGCAGTTTTGGATGAATTCGCGAGCTCTTGTTTCACCAAAACTTTTGATTCTTTCCCGAAAGGATTCATTTCGCTTATTCAGAAGTAGTTTCAGCTGCAATTGGATTCATTTTTTGTTTTTACATTTATTATAACACGAATTTAACTCATAGAAAAATTATTGAATATTGCAATACTTTTAATATCCTTGAAAAAAATTATTAATTACAATTCTGAAAAGGAAAGATTTTCTTTTAAAATTACGCGCAATTTTTCTTATGATATCCTTGAAATTTACTCGCATCGTTTGCCCCTTTTGCAAGATTTCCGAGAAGCGGAACTTTTGTTTTTCCTCTTGTTTGAAGTTGGGAACACGCACGCGAAATTCAAAAGTTGTGCGGGTACTCAAGGGAAAAGAGCGGAAATTCGGCAAACAAAAAAGTTTTAACTCTTTTGATCTCTCAAATTTCGCATTATTTTTTCGTTCGCCGACACCTGGAGCTGCAATTAAAAACCTGCCAGAGCAATCCATTCTGCGTGCAAACCGGACCCGATCGTTTTTGCCCCAACCGCCTTTTTTTGCTTCCCTTGACAAACTAATTTTCTTTTTGCTCTCTCTCGGCGGTGGCAAATAATCTTTGCTGTCGCCATTAAATTTTGCGGTGCGTGCCGAGGTTGTAAAGCGAGGCTTGGCCAAACAAAATTTTTCATTCAAGCCGATTTCAAACGTGAAATTTGGCCGCCGGCAAAGGGCAAGTAAAGTCTAGACACAGCAGCTTTCAACACGCTAACCTTTTCAACCAAAAATTTGCTCAGCCAAAGTGGTTTAAGCTTGATTTTTTTTCATAAAAAGGAGATGCGCTTTCTGGTGCCTTGAAAACTCATTCATTTTTCAGGATTTTCTAGCCCAATTTAATTTCAATACTTTTAATTTTCAACCTGTTAATAAACAAAATAGAATTCCACGCAAAAAGCTTTGAATTTGGCACAAATTATTTGTTAAATGAAATTTAAATTCTCGTCTTTGCAGCGCCCTAGATTTTGTTGAATAAATTTTACAGTAAAATTTAAAAAGTCGGCATCAATGTTTTCTTTTCTGACGGGTTGAAATGGAATCGATCGCAGAGTAAGCGAGATTGAAATTTGCTGTGTGTCTTGTTCTGGCTTCTGGTGGCGCGCGCGGCCGAGGACCTTGGCGCAGAAAACGGCCGGAACGCTTTTCCATCCGCCGCCGCCGCCGTCTTTCCATTTCCGCCCAGATAAATCTTCTTGTTGCATCTTATTTATCGACCGCGAATTGTTGCAGATTGATTTGCCACTCCCGCGACCACACTTAATTTTTTCCTCGTGTCGAGACTCACAAAAGAAAACAATGTAAAGTGAAACGGAAAAAAATGATGAATTGAAAAGATGGTTTTTTTTCAATCAAACTTTGACAAACTGATCGAGTAATGGAAACAAATATACTTTTGCTGCCAAAAACATGGAGAAAATTGAACTTTGGTGTTTTTCTTTCACTGAAAATAAAGAAAAGAACTTTTGAATCGATTGATTTTTCAATCCAGAATAACTTTCAAAATATAAATCGTTTTAAATTTATTGTTTAGATCAACACAATTTTTTTTAACCGCAATTTTCTTCTTAAATTGTATTTCTATTGGAACAAAAATCAAAGTTTTGATGCCTTTTGTGATTGATTTGACAAAATTAACATACAAAATGACTTTTTAATTCTTTTTTTGAACAAAAACTCTATTTTGTTTTGTCCACAACCTACCAATTTTATCATGCAAATTTAAAACTTCTTCTCCTTATGATTCACTTCGTCGGTGTCAACTTGCGGCTGCAACTTTTGCTTTCTTGAGGTCGTAAATTTGTCAGCAGATCAAGCCAAACAAAGTTTTATCGCCACATGCAGAGGTGGTGCATTTTTTTCCCGCTGACAAGCAATGAATAATCCGGCCCCATTAATTTCTTTCCTGATTTGATCCGGCCGCCGCGTCACTGCGCGCATTGTGTGATAAATTTGCGCCAGCTCAGCTGGAAATGCAGCCCGTGCGAATTTTTTTTAACTGCTCCGAGTGTGAATGAACGAATGCGGCGCGATCGGTGCAGCATTGAATTTTGAACGTCCCTCCGGAATTCCATCGCGCCAACGTAATGGAGTGCGAGCTCGAAAAATGCCGCCAGCCCCGACCGACCGACCGACCGACCAAGCCAGGCACCCTCGTGGCTTAACAGATTTGCATTTATGGGCCGCAGAAAAGATGCCAGCCGAGGAGGAGCGCGTGAGAAATCGCGGCCAAATACAATCAAGCTCTCGATCCGACCGTGCCGAAAGCAAAAGGAACTGAAAAGCAACACACGTGCCAGCCTTTTTTACTTCTGCATCTGCAATATAATTTCTTTGAAAGAAAAAAACAAACATCATGTTAAAATTCACAAAAATCAATCAAACTTTCAAGAGAAGTAATTTTTTTTTTCAAATTTAAGTTACAAAAAACATTAAGTCTGGCCAATATTAGTTTTCAACTTTCTAACTTTCTTTATAAGCAAATAGAAAAGTGAAAAAAATCTACAATCACCTATTTTGAGATTTTTTTTACTTTTTATCACATGTTTTTGTGTTTAAAAATCCAGCTTTAATCACCTATTTTTACAAAAATTAAACAAAAAATAATCAAAAAACTCATTTTTTAATATAAAAAATGCTCCTATTTTTCACTTCTTTGGCTTTTACCACCTGATTCTTCCATAAAAATAAGCGCTATTTTCACCAAATCGCAGGAAAACTTAGTATTTATTTATCTTATTCTCTTGTTTCGGTTTCAATGTATACGCAGGGATAAGAAAAACCTTTTCTTCTTGAAGGGCCAAACGCTTTCTCCTTTTTCCGTTGAAAATATGTTGGCCATTTCGCAAGTGAGACGTTTAAAGGAGGCGGCGAATGCAATTTTGCAGCGCCGGGCTCAAAGAGAATCGATTTAATTCGCAATTTCACTCAGCGTGGCCGAAACAAAATGTTTACTTTGGGTCGGTCTCGAGGCAATAAAAGTAGAACCGTAAAATTTAATAGTGCCTCTTTGCTTTCCGGTCGCGCGCGGGGCTCTGAACAATACAATAAAGTCTCCCACTTTTTTACACATGCACGCGGAGGCGTTTCATTCAAATCTTTTATGAATGCGAGCAGAGGCGACGCGGTCAAAGGAAACTGTTCCACTTGGCGGCGGATCAAAACTGAATGCGACTGCAGAGGCTCGCCCGTCATCACTTGGTGTCGCCAACGCAAAATTTTTCACATTTTCACTGCCAAAGTGACGAAAGAAAAAAATTTGTGCTCAAATAAAAGGAAATAAAGCAACTGAAGATTTTAATGCTTAAAAAACAATTAATTTGCAATATTTTAGGAAAATAATTATTATGAATTTTTCACTTAAATCTGTCGATGAAAACGGGAAAGAATTGTAGGATGATCAATTTTTTTTTTATATTTCTATTCCTCGCAAGTGCAAACAGTTGTAAAACATGTTCAGTTTCTCTTAAGTAAAATATTCTTTGGAAGTTGCACTTTTTTTAATCACGTAAAGCTTTTACGTCGACATTTATAAATAATTGCTCAATAAACGAAGCAGCGTCGGCAAAATGTGAAAAGCCGCACCAAAGTAGATATTTATGAAAAGCCGCGACCCACTTTCCAGTGCTCGTTTCAAAGCAGTTTGATCAAAGTGCGTCCGGGGCATTTTCAAAACACACGTGTTTTGATGATAAGCGCAAATTCCTCTGCTAATGGCCGCATAAAATTTTAATGAAACTGCGGCCGGTCTAGTCAAAAGCCCAGCGAAAAAAGTAAAGCGCCTTTTTTTGTCAACGAAAGGGAAAAATAAAGTTTTCGCATAAACCATAAAATGCACTTCTTTGTTATGTAACTTTGAGTTTTGTTGGTGGGGACGATTGGGGGTTATTTACGATGTATGCAACCCGCCCAGCAACGGCGCACAGCGGGTTGCATAACCGATGATTTGCAGGCGCTCCACGCGAGGCCCGTGATGAATTTGGCG